GCTGCCTCTCCCGCTGCCGGTACCCGAGGACGGGCGACGCGAGGGGGAAGGGACAAAATCTGCGCTTGAGCTGCGCGTGGTGACGGGCCCCCCTCTACCTGCGCGTCAGTTCAGCGTGGGAGGAGCAAAGCGCGTTGTTACGAGGTGCCGGTGCCGCTGTACGAAGCTGCGTCGCGTGTTCTGCTGCGCTCAGGTTGATACGCTTCCAAAAAAATAATAAAGTCGGTGTGTTCCAGCCTGCGTCTGTCCTGGGGATCGGGGCCTTCCGGACGCGTCCGCCCGAGGCCGCGGGAGGCTGACCACGGCCAGGAAGCGCTCCACGGGTTGCTAGCAAGTGAACGGAAGTTTAGAAACCCTCGGGAGACCTGGAAAAGATTAAAGGGAAAGCAAGGGGGTGATAAGCAGCTCTCCATGGCAGTGTCTGACCGCCAAGGTCTCAGCACAAGGGCAGAACTGATGAGGAAAGCACCGAGGTAAGCGTGAACGGCGCCGCCCAAACTGCCGACAACAGCCGGAGCGAGCTCTGCGGGGCGAGCCCTCAGCCCAGCGGCGGTGGAGGGGCCTCAGCAGCGCGTTACCCCGAGCAGAACGAAAACCACGGGGACTCGCAAAGTCTGGAAGGCTTTGGGAGAGGGGGAGGCTGAGAAATGCACCACCCGTGAGGGACAGCGTGAGTACACAGCTTTATTAAAAATTAGATCCTATAAATAAGATAGGAAGGCAGAAGCCTTTTTCCACTCGCTTCGTCCCTGCACGCCGCGGGTGCTTCAGGTCACTTCCAGGGCTCGAGTCCTTAACGAGGAGTCAGGAACTGCAGCGAGGTCTGGGCTGGAGAACGGGGCGTGAGGCCACGCAGCACGACGGGCGCCAGCACGGACTGGGGGTCTTCGGGCCATCTGCAGGAAGGGCGCAGGGTGTTGGGGGGAGGGCAGGTCGGGCGGTGCTGCACAACCCTCCCACGCCGGGCAGGAAGAGCAGGCGGGGTGGGAATGGCCCCGCGCCTCGCTCGGCAGGCG